CGTACGTACGTACGTACGTACGTACGTACGTACGTACGTACGTACGTACGTACGTACGTACTACGTACTACGTACTACGTACTACTACTACTACTCTCTCTCTCTCTCTCTCTCTCTCTCTCTCTCTCTCTCTCTCTCTCTCTCTCTCTCTCTCTCTCTCTCTCTCTCTCTCTCTCTCTCTCTCTCTCTCTCCATCATCATGGAACACGTTGTATCCGAGAGGATCGGAACTTGCCCAATTTGCGATGGCATATTCTACTGGGAAATACGAATTATACGAGACATAAGGTCCTCTCATAAAGTCGCTTGAGATGTGGCTGGTCTGGCGATTAATGTCTAATTGATTTTGTGTCAATTACACGGTCGTTTCAATTCTGTCGATATATTTTTTATAGTTTTGTTTCAAAATTAAATTTAAATCAGTAGAGTAGAGGGGTAACTTCTCGGGTAAATATGTAGATCATGTAAGTCAATTTATATTATAAGTGAATAAGCAGAAAAATGTATGCTTTGCATAATTCAGAAATCAAGAGGAAATGAATTTTATAAATCAGATGAAAATTATCTTCCTAAATGATTACTGTATTTTTTATTTATCGTAATGTACTTATTTGTAAAATTCATGTTGCTCTCAGAGATCGCGGGATTTAAGTGTGATTATAAAGTGTTCGAGACTATAAAATATACATTCATTTATTAAGGCAATAAACCGAAAAATAATGTACCGATATGATACATTTGACATTATTATTTCATAATTTTGCCAGATAGAGTTAGATTATTGCCTGTATTCATATATATGTATTCATATATATGTTTCATTACCGGGCGAATATAATTGCTGCTCGTTTGATTTCAAGATAAAACGTGATTAATTATAAAAAAAAACCTGGCAATTTTTAATTGGCAATGTGAAAAACGTATTTTATACGTGGCATTATCAGTTCGATTATTATCCTGATCGATAGTATTACGAACATTAAGCCGCTTAAAAAAAGTAGAGAGATTAGGTACGAATCGATATAACGAGGTAATCCGAATTTCACGATTATTGTTCGTTTATCGTCTTTTCATTTTTTTTTATATATTATTTTCAATGTATTATAACAGTAGTAATATATTGGTTCCCTACTTCTTTCAACAATTGCAATTCAGAATTTAATGACTGCTCTCTGCTCTTTTCTCAAATTTATTCCCCATTAAGGTAATCCTAATTGATTAAATATCAATTATTCGGCATGTTAATTAGGAAAGTTATGTATAACAAATGCGATTGCCATTATTTAAATTATAATTATTAATATTATCTATACGTATATCGTTATATTAAATAATGTAGCTCTCTGTGCAGATGACGCAGCTCGACTCGCGTATGTCGCGCAATTTTCAGCAGGTTTATCTCGAGACAATCGTCCGAAGGGTCCACGAAAACGAATAGTCCACTTATCCCACGGGATTGTGCCTATACCCGCGCAATTTTATCCCGACAATCTCCATTCACGCCTCGATCGAATTGTCCACGAGGCTGTTTCTACGCCTCTCGACGAATTCACGCCCTTGGCGTCCCTTCGCAGGACAATTTCTCCCGTACTTCAGCCAAAAGTGCCCCGAAAATCTTATTGCTCTATCACATTACGCACGGTTACGCGATTGCGGAAATCCTCTTC